TTATTAGTTTTTATAAACTGAAATTATTCTCTGTTTTGAAATTGAGAATATTCTCAATTTATAATATTCTCAATTTTAATCATGAAAAAAATTGAGAAATTTTTCAAAAATATATAGTAAATTTGAGAAAATTTTCAATTTTTTTCAATATTAAAACTGAGAATATTATCATTTTTTCAATTTTAAACTGATAATATTTTCAATTTTAAAATTATAAAACTAAACACATTGATGATTCAAATAAATCAACAAACAAATAAACTGACTTTATTATCAAGTATCAATGGACCAGATCATCCTCCAAATTTAAAACTGTGGGTTGGTATGTTGATATAATATATTATAATAAAAAAATGTATATATATATAGAAAATAAAAAAAAGTTGAAGAGAGTGGGAACATGCTGGAAAAGGGGCTTATCAATAGAGTTTTATAATAATGAAAATAAAGGTGAGGTAATGGACGTGTTTGGGAATTGTCTGTGAAAGAACGAAGAGACTCTCTCATCCACTGCCCATACCACCATTTTACTAATGAAAATAAAGGTGAGGTAGTGGAAGAGTGGGTGAAAAAAGTGAGAGAGAGAGGGAGATATAACCTAGAGGGAGAGAGAGATCAGTCCCCCCCTGTGTGTGTCTGTTTGTGTCTCCTCTTTACATTTTTCAACACCCAAACTACAGAGAGAGAGATTAGTTTGATGTGATCATCTCCGAGAGAGAGCCATGCGAGTGAGCCGATGATGATGATCCAGCCTTGAGTGGATTAGGCTGACAGAGTCGAAATCGTTTAAGGAAGAAACGATTACAAGAAAGGGAAGCTGTTATGGCTGTCAGAGAATCTCAGCGACGAGAATTTATGGCCACTGGTGGTATAGCGATCCCGGTATTCCCTGTTGTTGTTTAAATGTAATCTGGACTCAGTTCCGTAGATTCGTTGTTGTTTTATCCTCATTTCTATCCCTTACTCTTTGTTTTAGAGTTTTGGGTTGTGTTGGGCAAGTTGGGAATTAGTTGGTTGTGTTTTAAAGCTTTGAAATTTCTTGCCCAGGTTTTGGTCTCTCCGCTCGAGCGGCGGTTTGACGCTCGAGCGGGCTTTTGTTGCTGCCTTTTCGCTCGAGCGGCAGTTTGGACGCTCGAGCGTGAATTTCCTTCTCTCAGCATTTTGGTCGTCTGCAGAAAATTCTGGGAGAGTGCATCCGGCGCTCGAGCGGATCTTTGGACGCTCGAGCGTGAACCTGTGTCTGTACGCTCGAGCGGGGGGGTGTACGCTCGAGCGGACCTGCTTTTATATCAGTTCGTGAAACCACGTTGTACGCTCGAGCGGACCAGCTTTTATATCAGTTCGTGAAACCACCTTTTTGATCACTTTTTGATTTCCTTTCTCTCTCTTACTTTTTCAAAACCTCCATTGGAGAGCACCTCACTCTAAAACCGAACTTCTCTCTTAGGATTGATCTACCTAGAGTGCTTTCCTCACCTTGGGCCTTTGTAAGAAGTGTGTTGATCGTCGAGGGCTTCGTTTTGATCCGTGAATCTTGGAGTTTGGAGCATTTTGGTTTTCTTCATCCTCTTCTCTTGGGCTTCGAATTTGAGGTAGGGATATCCTACTCCTCTTTATGAATTTCGTCTTTAAATTTTAGCATTTTGTTATGTTGGGTGTTGTTGGGTAGATTCAAGAAGGTTTGGGCCTTTGTGTAATTTTACAAGAGTTGGGGTTTTGTTTGAAATAAACCTATATGCAAATTTGGTATGAATATGAGTAAAGTGATGGGTTGTGGATGAAAATGGAACCTTAGAGTTGTTTTGTTAATTAAGGTAATTAGCCCTAACTGTTTTAATTAATTAATGCATATAATTAATTAAAGGAAATGAGGGATCGAAGTGGAAATGTTGAAATTTGGGAATGTATGGGACTAAAGGGTGTAGCTAGATCATTCATTGCTCACCTAATTGAAATGTTGATATGTTATCCGCTTGTGCATTTATTTCCTGCTTAGAAATAATTGCTTTGGGCTACCGGTGGAGGGTAGTGTTGATTGTTGTAGACAATGCATGATGATTAGGCAAACTAAAACTAATCAATCGGGGGTGTCATAAGGTATGACGGATGATAGAATACATTAACTTTATGTATTGATCGAATGTGTGTATGACCAATGTGTTTATATGCACTGTGTGTAGACAGTTGGTAGAATACATTAACTTTATGTATTGATTGATTGCGTATGTGATTCTGTGTATATATGCATTACTTGTGTATGGGAGGAGATGGGGGATGTACTCCACGGTTTAGAGGAAGATGGGGGATGTACCTCTAAGCTGGTTAATGGTTTAGGGGAAGATGGGGGATGTACCTCTAAACCGGCTAATGGATTCTGGGATGCAGCTCATATGCTCGCCCGTTGAAGGGTAGATATAGCTCATATGCTTGTCTAGTGAAGTGTAGATATAGCTCATATGCTTATCTGTTGTAATATCGATATAGCTCATATGCTTATCTGTTGTAACAGTGATATAGCTCACAAGCTTACCTATTGAAAAGTTTGTTTGATTTGATATAGCACTAAAATGTATATCACCATCGTTTGTGAAGTATGGAAGTAGTTTATGTGCTATTGATACAACATCAAAACGTGTATCCACCTTGATTTTCAAAGTGTTCTAATGATGAACTACGATCTCATCAAATGTTTTGGCCAGAGTACTGAGCCTTGTTTCAAACCCAAAGTTGAATAAGAAATGGAAAGTGAATTGTAATATTGAATTGACTGTCTTGGAATGGTAATAAGATGTAAATGGAAGTGTAGTATTGACCCTATCAATTGCTAATCTTTTAGGTATTGTTCATAGTCGGTTTAGTATATTCCTACTGGGCTGTGGCTCACCCTTTATGGGAACATCATTTTCAGGTACAGGTAGTACGCCACCTCTGAGGACATAGCTTGGGAGGCTAGGGGCAAACTCACTTTTGTAGCCTTATTTCCCTTTTGATGTATTACATGTAAATTCAAGCCAAGGGCTAAATGTGTAACCGAGTCAATACTCTCTTTTGTAACCAAGTGTTAACTTGGAAAATTGTAAGCCCGTAGGGCATTCGCTTTAGTTGTTAACGTGTAATACTTTTGTAATGAAGTACCTTGATTAATTGAGGAAATGTGGATCTTTATGTACCAATGCATGTGTATATGGATGGGTTTAATGTTGTTTTTTTTTTGGGGCGTGACAGGTGGGAGATTGCAGTGGTGAGGGCTTTGGGGAGATTCCTTCAAAGTCTGATTCATGTCTAGATTTGGTTCGAGATGTCATGATGTCGAGCTTCAGGCAATATAGTTCGTAGAACCGACGTGTTTTCGGCTAAGAGAGAGGGAGAGTAAGAGTAAGAGAGAGGGAATGAAGTACAACAATGGATGTTTGACAACTATGGAGGAGGTCTTGGAAGGGTAAATTAGTCTATTAAAAATTAATGGGACTTGAAGGAGCAAATAATTTTATCTAGGACTTAATAGATTATAAGTTCACAAAATGAGACTTGTATGTAAATCCCCTTTAAATTTTTACGATTTAAATTTTTTGAATATTTATTTTAACTTTTTACTTATTAAATTTTTTAGATTATTTAAATTATTTAAATATTTATGATTTAAATTTTTTGAATATTTATTTTGAAAATTATTTCCTTTGTAGTATTTCTAATTAAAAAATTGATTAATGTTATTTTCTGTTAATAATAATTTTTTTAATTGAATTTTAAAAAGAGTTTGGTTATGAGTGTTGATCAGAATTTTTAATAGTGTGAAAGTAATGTGTTTTGCTATGAGTTATAACAATTTGAATTAAGTTTTGAAAACTCTTTCCAAAACTCATAACCAAACAAATTTTCTTACTTCACATGTCAAATCAAACTTTCAAAACTCAATTCCATATTCAATTCAAAACTCAATTCAACAATCTATTCAAAAATCATAACCAAACAAATTTTCTATACTCAAATAATAATTTCAAAACACACAAACTGTAACTCATATTTTTAAATCATAGTTAGAAAATCTTATCAAACAGAGCCTAAAAGTTTAGGGACTTTTAACTTCCATGTATGTTTTGCCAGTACTCTAACTATTATAGACTTTCTACATATAGAGGATGTATTATTAATTTTCCCAAATTTTGATATTTAGTTTTCTATTTAATATGAAAATCTTTATTATGAAATATTTATATTTAATTTAAATTTTATATATCTATATACAATATGTATGATGATAATTATCTTATAATTTAATATATATTATATATATCACTATATGATGATTACATTTTTATAAAATTATCATATATTATATATAAATATTTAAATAACACTCTTCTGAAACAATATGATTAAGATTATGAAAAGAAATTATTATAACCATATTTATTTTAAAATTAAATTAATATTATTCTTTTGTAAAGCACATCATAAAAAAAATATTATTAAAAAAAGATTAGTGGGTCAACTACTAATATTTAGCCCTCGTTTGGGATGAATAGCTTGGCTTTTTGGTTATTTTTATTCTCACTAAAAAAATTGCCTTCAAAATAAATTTTGACTTTTTTTTTTTTGGTAGTTGATTTGATAGTTATGAGAGAAAAAGTGAAATGTTTATGGTTTGAATGTAACATTTTATCATATTGGTTAAATTAATATGTTTTGTTTTTATTAGCTAATTTAGCCAAAATAACTCATGCTAAACGAAGTCTATTATTGTTTTTATATCATTATAATTTATATATCATCATATAACACAATCATAACTATTAAACTATTTAATATAAACCGTTTCATTAACAGTTTTTAAAAAATTACTCTGATATAAAAATATCATAAATATGTAACTACTGCGTTAGTGAATTAATGAGGTGATGAAGGGAAAAGTTTAGTAATTAGGTCGGGCTTGGGCAAATAGAAGAGGCGGTCACATAAGAGGGACAGATAATAGGGATGGCAATGGAGTGAGAGGAATAGATTTTTAATTTTTCCCCAACCCCAATCCCAATCCCCGATTTATTTTAGTCTCTCTCCTCCTCTTTTTGGCCGATCATCTGATTGATCTTCTTCTTCTTTTATCTGTCAATATAATATAATAATTTGAGAGTTTAGTGAAAAAGAAAACAAAGAGAAACCCTAGATCCGTTTGAAGCGTAGTATGGAGTTTTCTGGTGATGATGATGATGATGTCCGTGGGTATTTCCCCGTTTGAGGCAGGAAGGTCGATTACGTTTGGGATGGATGGTGAGCCTTAGCAGTTATCTTATTTTTATTATCATTATGTTCTAGTTTCAGTTGCAACAAGAATTTTTTTCAATAATAGTGATATATGTACATCCTAGATGTGAAAATATGCGGATTTTGTTCATGAAAAAGGTATAAAAAAGAGAGAAGCAAAAATAAAGAATAGGTTGGAGGTGTAAATTGAAATACTTAAATGAAAAGGTCAATGACATAGAAATAATGAATTTTAAATGGAGTTTTGGTTCAAATTCCATAGGACAGAGCAGGAGAGTTTATTTGAGTCAATGCAAATGCCTACTATGGATTATGAAATATTGGGATAATCTAAGAAGCAGAGACACAAGCACGGTGTGTTTGGTTTGATTTTGGGAGATAAATTTTCAAAAAAAATCTTAGGAAAAGAGTTTAGAAATTTTTTTGGCTTGTTTGGTTGTATATTTTGGAAATAGTTTTGCAGTGTCGAAATCTGAAATGATTTGATATTTTGTTGTAGTTGAGTAGATGTGTGTGAGAGAAAAAGTGATTAAGAAAGAGAGAGGACAAAGAAAAAGTGATTGATTGATGTGTAGGAGATAGAAAGTGATTATGGATTTTTTTTTTCAAAATCACTAAATCAAATAAAATTTTAAAAATTTTTCTCCAAAATTTGTTTCTCAAAAGCAAACCAAACAAGGCCACAATGTTTGTGACATGACATCGATACACCGATACAAAAATTTAAAAATAATGTAGGTCACAACATATGCAACATATATAATTTTATATATTTATTGTATGTCATATGTGTCATATATATGAGGATAAATAAATTTAAGTCAAAGCTAATAATTTTTAAAGTCTAAAGGTGAAAAATAGGCATAAATTAAATTGTTTTCAATATATTATTGAATTTCAAGTTATTTTATTAACCCATTATATATATCATTGACATGCATTATTTAAAAAGAACACTTTAATACTTCATTATAATATCCATCATAGTCTTACTAAACAAAAGCATTACATGTAACATCAAAGTAAATGCCCTGCCGGCTTACCTCTTTCCAAGCCAATACTTGGACACAAAAGTATGAGTTCTAACTCAAATATAAATAAAGCACTAGGCTTGAGTGTTTACATGTACTAACAATGAAAAACAAATAACAAAAAAATAGTCTTCAAAATCCAAGTCCTTCCAAGCTAAGTCCTTGGAGGTAGCTTATCACCTGAACCTGAAAATGATGTTCCCATAAAGGGTGAGCCACAGCCCAGTAGAAATATACTAAACCACATATAAGCAATGAATAAAGCAATAGCATTCAACAAATGGTTAACCAAGATAATCAATTACATCATTATCCAATCTCATGACACTATTGTCAACGACACGTTTCACTTTCCAACATTATCAATATGGCTCAGAACCTGGCCAAACTTACAATAGTGAATTATATATATATCATATTCACATTCTTCCAATGTCAACAAACAAATGAGACACAAGTTTAATATGAGTCACGGTCTCATA